TCGTGTTTGAGCATAGCCTTCTTTATTCTACAAAGCCTGTCCAATCGCGAAATACTCTGGTTTAAGGCTAGCCGCTGTTGTTTGTTTCTGTTTGTCGCTTTAGTGGGGCTCGGGCATTGTAGCCCAACTAAAACTATATCTGAAGATCAGCCCACGCTCTCTGCTTTGCCAACCCTGCGTATGACTATGATAAACACTGACGGTGTGTATATTAGGATCAGATCACGTGGCTGATAGTTCTAATTGCGAGTTGAGGAGGGGAATGCTGTTTCATTTCTTTCTTTCGACTGTCTGCCATTTCGCGGAGGGGAAAACTAATGGATGCTTTTGTAAGTTATCAACGTCAGGGATTACATCTTAGCGGTATTTATTGAACTTAAGTTAAAAAAAAAATGCTGCACGACCCATTTTACATGTATGCACACCATTGAGGCTCCCAAACATGTTTTCGTTATTGCTGAACTGCCTCAAAAAGTTGTCCCGAGAATAGAAGTGTTAAAGTGTCTATATGTGACGTATTAGTTCGACGTTACATGGAACTATTAGTGTGTGCGAGAGGGATCCTAGTGGCCTCAGGGGGATAGCAGCCGCTCTAAGTCTCACAGGAGTGTCGTTCTCAAGTTCTCCAAGATTCGACCGCCCTGTATTTTGTTTAAACTTCACAGTGTGGTGCAAAGTAAAAGCAAGGAAGAATTACTGTTAACAAGTGACATAAATATAATTGTCGAGTGAACACCACTCAATACGGGGCAGGCAATCCCTGAGGAATAAAAACTATCAAGGAGCAACTAAAAAAAAAAAAGGGAGTGGGGAGGGGGGTAGTTTTAAAACATACTGTGTCGTAAAGATTCCTCTGCCCCGCATTTTCGGCGCAGACTAGAAAGCGTGGCTTGGAAACGGTAGTGACAGATGGATAGTTGGTAAAAATTTTATTTGTAAAAACACTCTTGCCAGAAAGCACGTTTTCGTCGTGCGAGTTACTCGCGCCGTGCCTAACGACGATGCACCAACAAGAAAAATGTGTGCCTCTCAAATACACAGCTTGCACTGAGCGCGAAACTTTTGCAGCGTGCATTTTGCCCCACCGGATTTGATATTCTCAGCAAGAACAACTCGCAATGACAACCACTATCTAGTGCGATTACGTCACGTGCAAACCATGTTAAATACTTCAGCTTTCTGGTGAAGTGCGACGTTTGCAACACCAGCAGTAGACGTCCAAGGTGTAAAGTTGTGTAGTATTTATAGTAGTCTCGCAGATGTTGGAGCACATGACTGATAAAGAACAGAGTCGTGAAGTAAGGTCCCAAAACAAGTGCACGTAAAACCTGAGGTAACATTAGCCTTCCGAGGTAGTATCTCGCGACGTTTCGAGCTGAGGCAAAGCCGCCTGTATACAGGCGGCTTTGGCTGAGGCAAGCTGATGCCCAAAAGTGATTTATATTAGGATTTATAAAACCTTCGTTTGGCCTGCGCGGAATCTATGTTTAATTAGGAATATCATTTTATGCATTTCTATGCATCTCTTTTTGCAGTAAAGCGTTGTGTAAGGGATTATTTAGGAAAAATTGCGTGTCATCTCCTTATTTCTGCCCATTTCCTGTATTTGCCTTCCGATATATCATGTGACCACGGTGTTTTTTGGCATACCCTGCAACCCAGTATTTTACACTGCAAAACAGCTAACAAAAGCACGTTGCCGAAGACTCAACAGCTGGCGTATTTTCGAGTGTCGTCCTTCCGTGTCGGTCTCAGGCGGTTATGTGAACTTCATAAAGTCAAATTTATCGACGATAATAAAAATATACTTAATTCCTGTCTGAATATTTGGCAGCATAAATAGGAGATCCTCACCTCAAAGATATATAAGTAAATGCACCTTTAAATTATCTGAAAGATGTTCTGTAAATCTTTTTCGGCGCTTTTATCCTCTATAGACACGTTAATTATAAGTGATTTGGAAAAGCTTTAAATAATTTTTTTTTTATTTTGAAGCTAATTTAAATACCTATATGTTCCTCACGCATATATAACTTCTCAAATATATAGAAGTTTATTATCGCCTTTTTTATGTTTTTATTATCGCGTTTTTTTACTGGAACGAATGCTGGAACTATGACAATTGCACACTTAAACTCTCAGAAAGTGTCCGATTAAGTAGCTTCCGAACTGAGTAGAGCACGAAATACCACTTTGTTCTATTTAGCAAAAATCATAAATTAGCGAGAATGATGCTCATTTGCAAATTAAATTGACCGGCATTTTGTCAAGAGCAAACCTCAACATCCAGGCTATGCCAGTTTATCCAATGTAAGAAAATGTACACATGGGTAAGCACTGTTTTAGGTCAGATTCGATATCAGTACGAAGGTGCTCATAGATTAGAGTGAACAATTTCAGCCACTCCTTTTCGCATGATTCGTCGCCCGCATCATGGTGCTGAGAGCAAACAATGCTAGTTAGAAAAACAAGCATTGCGATTGTCGCTTAGTGTTTCTATAAAATATAGACTGGAAGGACTTGTCCCGTGACTTTCGTGACATTTTGAAAATTATATTGCCTTAAGCTCAGTCGTCTCGTCATCATATATATATTGTGAAACGTATTCCGTAAAACACATTTTATGGTATATATGGCGACGAGGTGCCGATTTCATGATTTTAATCACTGTAATTAATTCCTTAGTTTCAGGGCAAAACCCCGATTCAACATCTGATACTGCGATACAAATTTGTACCAATCACGGGTATTTTAGGCAACCAACTTCACTTCGCGAAAACATTTCGATTCAGGTACAATGCATGTGACTCTGGAAAACGAAGGGATGTTGAGTCGTATAGACTCGACGTTTTGTATGTTAATGTAGATTTTCTTTTCTTGTTGTGTAGGAATAAATAACAGAATTTTATAATTTTGGTACCTGAAAATAAAACTGGATTGAAGAAACGATAAAAAAAAGAAAACTATACACTGTAAACGACTTATTTTTCGTGGGCTCAATATTTCGCGATTTAGGTCAAAGCTGAAGTTTTGGAATAATTCGCGGGTTGTAATTTTCTTGACCGCGGTGGAATCTCAATATAAATTTCAATCTGTTTACATTTTACCGAAATTGTTTGCGGGACCCATTTTCCGAGAATTGTAGGCGATTCACGAAATTCTCAAGAATAGGTCCTCGCAAAAATCAGATCGTTCACAGCAGTTAGTTTCACGGCCTAAATAGTGCCTATTGACAGAACAACGCGGAAAATATATTCTCAATTTAGCGGTTCAAACCGGTTCGAACCGGTTTGAACCGTTATTTTTTGCTCCCCGGAACTGAACCGGAACTGAACCGAAAGCCGTGAACCCGAACTCGAACCGAACCGATAAAAATATCGGTTCGACACTCTGCTCACGCCCCTCACGGCCCTTGCGGCCCTCACGCCCCTCACGCACTGATGGCCCTCACGTCACTCAGGCCAGCTTCAGATGGAGCAATTTGACCCAGAAACTTTACGTCGCAACACCAGCAACACGGGCCACCCGCGATCACACGCAGCAACCAATTGCTGCAATTTGCCATTGTCATCATAAAATTTTATTTTTCTTGCACTATTTAGACACAATTACGCGTTATAAACGTGGTTTTATGCATTTAAATCTCGTTAAGAATACTAATGCACCTTTCTGAAACAGTTTATTTCCAAAAAACAATCGATTTCAAACCAGAACCAAGTCTTTCGGTGTCATCATCACCGGCACGAAATATCACGGGAAAATTTTGCGTCCCTGATCGGATGCAGCCGCTCCAAACGTATTCCAATTGCTCCGAGTTGCTTGCTTATTTCGAGCCGGACCCGATCTCAGCAATTCGTGTCGATCTAGGGAAAGCTAGAGAACAACCCGCCATTAACACCAAAATTGCTGAGAATGATGCTCGATCTGAAGGGGGCCTCACGCACTCACCGTCCTCACGCACTCATGGCCCTCACACACCTCATGCACTCACCGCCCTCACGGCCCTCATGGCCCTCACGCCTCTCATGCCACTCACTGCCCTCACGCACTCATGGCCCTCACACCCCTCACGCACTCACCGCCCTCACACCACTCACGCACTCATGGCCCTCACGCCACTCACCGCCCTCACGCCCCTCACGCACTCATGGCCCTCATACCCCTTACCGCCCTTACCGCCTGCATGGCCCTCATGGCCCTCACGGCCCTCACCGCCTTCACGGCCCTCACGGCCCTCACGGCCCTCACAGCCCTCACGGCCCTCACCGCACTCACAGCCCTCCCGGCCCTCACGGCCCTCACGGCCCTCACGGCCCTCACAGCCCTCACAGCCCTCACTGCCCTCACAGCCCTCACTGCCCTCACTCACCCTCACACTCATGAATTTTCCTGGTTCAGAAACTCACTCACCCTCACCTCACCTGTGAAGATGAGGGTGAGTGAGGGTGAGTGAGGGCCCTCATGAGTGAGGTTCGCCGAGGTATGGTTGAGACATGTTCTTAGACACTCGCACTGACAGATTATTACTTCATCTGCATGAGGCGAAGAGGTTCAATGATGTTCTCCGGCAAGAGCAACCTCCTTTAATTGTTCACAATAGTCTTAACTGGACTAAGCGGACACTTGCAAGGCGTTGAGCTATATGTGTAACCTCCTGCACTTGTCAGGAGTTCCTAACCTTGCCCCTACACCTTACTTCAAGTTAAACTTCCACCTAAAGTTAGCCCTTCATACAGGTGCTCTCGTCCACGTCTGCGTGGTGAAAGCGTTGAATTTTTACTTTCTTGTGGTTGGTTTGTCAAAAGTTTATCGACTAACCGGTCTCAAGATTTAATTCCGACTAAAGCAGTAATAGATTGCTCGGTAGGTTAATTGACCAATTGCCTGGCCCTAATTAACACCCATTGGTAAAACCATACCTGTGTTGTAAGGAAGCATAGTTTGCTTCCTTACAACACAATGAGGACCACATATTTTTAATAAAGCAAAGATGAACTCACATTGTCTTTGTTCTGCATGACAGCTGGCAGGATGTCCTTCACAGTCCTCTCAACGAGCACGCCCCCCACCATCCGGTAACATCGGCGGTCTCCGTCCACCTTCTGCAATGCCTCTGCCACGAGGCTGGAAACAGATCAGGCATGTTTAAAATTCAGCACTTGTAACAAGAAGTCGTCAAGTATCCAATGTTTGGAAAAGAAAAAACAACAAAAAAACATGTTTTTCTAACTGCAAAAAAAATCTACCATATTTTCAGAACTATAGTTTACAAACTATTTATTTTAATTTTTACAGAAATACAAATAAATATAAAAATACATAGATGAGGCATGTTTTAAATTTGGGATGCTAGAACTGAACCAAAAGAGAGGTTCCTCAATCAAAGCAATTTTGAGAATTCCTTCAAAGAGGCTTCCTTCTTCACTAATCTCGAAAAAAAAGATTGTTCACAAAAACCCAAAATGAAGCTAAATTTCTTTTTTTATGAGATTATGTTTAACCCTTGAAGTGCCACTTTAAAAAAAAAAAAAAAAGCAACCTAAAAATGCTATATATTTTTATTGAGGAGTTTTAGTCCTTTAGAATAACAGATGAACATATCAGTAGAAAAAGATGAAGAATAAAAATTGAAAGGGACATGATTAGGCACAGGCTAATAACTGCGTCCCCATTTCACCCTCCAGTGGATCGCTGGAAGCAAAGAGGGAAGCAAAAAACACAAAAAGGGGGTCTGCTTCTTAGGCAATCTAAATTTCCCTATTATTTCTGGGCGCCCAGTGCTCGAGCATTGACAAAGTTGCCTTATGTGTCTGCAAGAGCGGTCGGCCATTGTAACGAGAAATAAGCAAGTATCCAGTGTTTGAGGTTGAAAAAAACAAAACGTCTTTCTAACTGCAAAAACAATCTACCATATTTTCAGGACTATACACCAACTCATGTTTACAAACAAACCGGAGTGCCCCTAGCGGACGCCACCGGCGCCGCGCATGCGCGGTGGATGGTGGGCAAGAAGCCCGCCGTCGCCTATAAACAAGCCATTGAATTGCGTTGTTGTCGGCGTCGGTGGGAGTCCCCGTGCTCTTTTTCGCGTTGGAATTGTTTATTCTATGTTCTCCTAACAATGTCTGACTACTTAAGCGGCTTCAGGAAAACTAACGAGGCAAAACTTTGTGTAAATAATGGGACGTGCGGCGATTCATTTCACGTGGACGCCGCGGAATGGGCGCTAAAGCCTGACTCCCACGATGAGATTCTGCTCGCCATTTTCAGTCACGACGTCGCTCGGACTGCAAAAGCGTGGACCGTAGCCGAGATGGTGGACGTCGATACTGAAAACCGCAAGTAGAATCGGGCATTACAAGTCGGTGATGGCCACTGGTAACAATGATCAACACCTTCTTGTGTCTATTTACAGTTGGCCCACTTACCCCAACCAACCTTCAAAAGTGTTTTGAGGCCTGCACTTAGTTCTTATCGCAATTACCGGGTCAACGTTTGGTTTACGGGCCGCTGTCGTTTGAATGAGCTGACGACAAAAAGCAACTAAGTTTGAAAGAGCAGACGACAGTTCGAACCCATGCGCAATGGAGTACGGGCAAAAAGCACCGCGTCCCGCGTCAACAAACCATTCGAATGTCACGTTGCCGGCGTCTGTGTGAGTCTGCATACTCTTTTTCGCTTTGGAATTGTCGATTCTACATCCTCATTGCAATGTCTTACCACTTTAATCACCTGAGCGAAATTATCAAGGCTCGTTATGCCGCTAAACTTTCCGTAAATAATTTGACGTGCGGCGATTCATTCGCATGAACGCCGCAGAATGGATGCCAAACCATGATGATGTAGCGCTGAAAACACGTGGACTTCCATGCTACTTAAAATAGAAACTATATTTAATTATCATTATAAACTCGGAGCCAGCTAACTGACCGAGTACCGGGATCAGTTAGAATGAGAATGGCGGTTGGTCAGAGCTTCAGCCTCGGGACGCGCGTGTTCATGCCCCAGTGGTCTTTCGCACGTGCAAAAGGCGCACTGGAGCTTGTCGGCGATGCTTCTTCTTTACTGGCATCTGTTGGGTCTTTTGACGGCCACAGGAGCTCCCCCCTAGTCACAGGACGGGGAACACGTCGTGTGCTACGATGGTGTGGAAGAGGTTCAGTAACAAAGTGCACCCTTTTGGGAGTCGTATTTTTTGTCGGTGCCTTGGTTGTGGTTGTCGTAGGATGGCCTTTAGTTGAGTCGTTTGTCTCAGCTTTTGTGGAGGCGTTGGAAGACTTAAGGTTACTTGCATTTGTTTCGAGTGTGTTGGCCATGTAAGCGGGTTTCAACCTGTCTATTGATACTGTGTCTTCTTTGCCATTAATGTTAAGCCTGTAATATTTTGACGATCGCGAAATTACTTTAAAAGGACCGGTATACGGAGGTTGTAGTGGCCGCCTTACTGCATCATTTCGGACAAATACGTGGGTTGCCGTTTCCAGATCGGGGCTCACAAACACTTGTGGTTGACGTGGTTTGCGAAAGGGAACGGGCTGAAGGGCCTGCATCATTGTTTTAAGTCGTGTTACGTAGTTGAGAGGGTCTGGCAACTCCGCGTCTGGTGAGGCAACTAAAAGGTCCCCTGGCAGACGAAGCGAACATCCGTAGACTAGTTCGGCTACGGTGCAGTCGGTGTCCTCTTTGAGCGTAGTTCGGATTCCTAGAAGAATCATGGGGAGGGCTTCTGTCCAGGATGTGGTGTCTGAAGCCTTCAGTGCTGCTTTTAGTTGCCTATGAAATCTTTCGACTAGTCCGTTAGACGCGGGATGGCATGCTGTCGTTGAAATATGCTTAATGCCGAGTAGGTGTGAAATTTCTTCGAATAACCGGCTTTGGAATTGTCGTCCTCTATCCGTTGTTATAGTCGCCGGTACGCCAAATCGACTTATCCAAGTTGACAAAAAGGATTTCGCGACCGTCTCTGCAGACACGTCGACAATGGGACACACTTCGGGCCAACGTGTGAATCGGTCGATGCAGGTCAACATGTACCGATATCCTCTTGACGGCGGGAGGGGACCGACGAGGTCAATGTGTACATGGGAAAATCTTGCATCTGGAGAAAGAAATGTTGAAATTGGGGTAGTAGTATGACGATGAATCTTGGTTTGTTGACACTTTAGACATGTCCGAGCCCAGTGACGAACGTCTGTGTTCATTCGAGGCCACACATATCGCTTTGCAATTAAGCGTTGAGTGGCACGAATGCCAGGGTGTGATAGAGAATGGTACATGTCGAAGATCTTTCGTCTGAATTCGGGGGGAAGATAAGGTCGAGGTGTGCCAGTTGACATGTCGCAAACCAATTTCACTGAAGGTGAATCCAGCTGGACGTCTTCTAGGACAAGGGCAGTTGTTGATGTTCGGAGTTGTTGAAGCTCATTGTTCAGAGTTTGTGACGTGGCCAGTGCAGGATAGTCGATGGAAGGACGTGTGGCGCCTGTTGCATTCACAGTCATTCTTGATAGGGCATCTGCAACGACGTTCTTGTGGCCGGAGATGTGTCGAATGTCTGTGGTAAACTCAGAGACAAAGGCAAGGTGCCTGATTTCTCGAGGTGAGTGCGAAGCGCTAGAGGTCATTGCATATATGAGCGGCTTGTGGTCGGTGTAGATAGAAAACTGACGTCCTTCGAGTAAGTACCGGAAGTATTTCACAGAGAGGTAGATGGCGAGCAATTCTCGGCCGAACGTGCTATAACGGGTTTCAGCTGGAGAGAGAGCTTTGGAGAAAAATCCAATCGGGCACCACTTGCCCCCGAGATACTGTTGAAAAACTGCACCAACTGCAGCGTCAGAAGCGTCCACCATTAATGAAGAGGGGGCATCACAGTGTGGATGAGTCAAAAGTACTGCATCAGCAAGTTGCTTTTTTACAGTAGTAAACGCGGCAGTTGCTGTGTCATTCCACACAAGTGGTGCGGTTTTGCTCTTAATTCCCGCTAGTAAGGTGTTGAGCGGTTTGAGTGTTGCTGCTGCATTTGGAAGAAATCGACGGTAAAAGTTCAGTAGGCCGAGAAATTCTCGCAACTGCTTCACCGTTGACGGCACGGGGAAGTCATTGATTGCTTGGACTCGAGACTGTAGTGGACGTATTCCATTTCGGTCAAGGTGGTGGCCAAGGAAGTCAAGTGCCGGCACGCCAAACTCACATTTTTCAAGTTGTATGGTAACGCCGTAGTCGTCTAACCTTGAAAATATGGTATGAAGATGCTCCTCGTGTTCTGTTGCAGTGTGGCTGAAGACAAGGATGTCGTCTAAGTATGCAAAGCAGAACGGCAGCCCTCTCAAGATATGGTCCACAAAACGTTGGAATGTTTGTGCAGCATTACGGAGGCCGAAAGGCATGCGCAAAAATTCAAATAATCCGAAAGGTGTAATAATCGCTGTCTTAGGAATGTCGGACGGTTCCACCGGGATTTGGTGATAGGCCTTAATAAGGTCAATCTTGGAGAATATTGTTGATCCTGCGATGGTACCGGTGAAGTCATGAATATGGGGTATAGGATACCGGTCAGGAGTCGTGACCTTGTTAAGGGCTCTATAATCGCCGCAAGGTCTCCAATCACCTGACTTTTTGGGTACCATATGAAGTGGAGTAGACCAGTTGCTGGAAGAAGGGCGTACCAGGCCAAGTTCAAGCATATGGTTGAACTCGTTCTTGGCGACCTGGTAACGGTCTGGAGCAAGACGGCGTGGTCGGGAGAACACGGGAGGACCGGTTGTTTCAATGCAATGAGTTACGGTGTGTTTGACAGGTCGTTCTGTTATAGAGGGCCGTGTGAGGGCGGGGAATTTTTTGAGAATGTTGTGCCATGGAGAATCGGTCATGACCTTTGAAATGATGGGACTGAGGGGCGGTTTGTCTGAGCATAACCCCTGTATGCTGAGTCGCGTTCCCGCGTCAGTCAGTTCTTTACGTCGTACGTCCACAATAAGGTTGAAGAAGCGTAGAAAGTCGGCTCCAAGAATGGGTCGAGTTACCTCGGCTATTAAAAACACCCAGCGAAAAGTGCGACGAAGACCAATATCTAGCGTGAGCGATCTTTCCCCAAACGTTGAGATGGGAGAACCATTTGCAGC